AGAAAGCTCAGAAATAGACCCTTGCATCTATGGTCAATTAATCTACGACAAAGGAGGCAAGAATATACAATGGAGAAAAGCCAGTCTTTTCAATAAGTGATGCTGGGAAAACTTGACAGCTACACATAAATGAATGAAATTAGAACACTAACACCATACACAAAAGTACACTCAAAATTGATTAAAGACCTAAATGTAAGGCTGGACACTATAATACTCTTAGAGGAAGACATAGGCAGAACACTCTTTGACAAAAATCACAGCAGTATCTTTTTGGATCCACCTCCTAGAGTAATGAAAACAAAAATAAACAAATGGGACCTAATTAAACTTAAAAGCTTTTGCACAGCAAAGAAAACCATAAACAAAGTGAAAAGAGAACACACAGAATGAGAGAAGATATTTGCAAATGGAGCAACCAGCAAGGGATTAATCTCCAAAATATACAAACAGCTCATGCAGCTCTATATCAAAAAACCAAAAACCCAGTCAAAAACTGGACAGATGATCTAAATAGACATTTCTCCAAAGAAGACATACAGTTGGCCAAAAAGCACATGAAAAGATGCTCAACGTCACTAATTATTAGAGAAATGCAAATCAAACCTACAATGAGGTGTCACCTCACAATGGTCAGAATGGCCAACATTACAATATCTACAAACAGTAAATGCTGGAGAGGATGCGGAGAAAAGGGAACCCTCCTAGACTGTTGGTGGGAATGCAAATTGGTACAACTGTTATGGAGGACAGTATGGAGGTTCCTTAAAAAACTAAAAATAGAGCTGCCATATGAGCCAGCAATCCCACTCCTGTGTTTTTTCCAGAGAAAACCATAATTTGAAAAGATACGTGTACCCCAATGTTCATTGCAGCACTATTTACAATAGCTAAGACGTGGAAGCAACTAACTGTCCATTGACAGAGGAATGGTTAAAGAAGATGTGATACATATATACAGTGGAATATTACTCAGCCATAAAAAAGAATGAAATAATGCCATTTGCAGCAACATGGATGGATCTAGAGATTTTTATACTAAGTAAGACACTTAGAGAAGGACAAATATCTGTTGATATTACTTATATGTGGAATCTAAAAAAATACAAATGAAATTATTTACAAAACAGAAACAGACTCACAGATTTCAAAAACAAACTTATGGTTACCAAAGGGGAAATATGGTGGCGGCGGATAAATCAGGAGTTTGGGATTAACATATACACACTACTATATATAAAATAGATAACCAGCAAGAACTCTACTTAATATTCTTAATAATTTATACGGGAAAAGAATCTGAAAAAGAATGAATGTATGTATGCAACTGAATCACTTTGCTGTACACCTGAAACTAACACAACATTGTAAATCAACTTATAGTCCAATAAAATTTTTTTTTTAAAAGATGTTCTGAACCATGGTGCAAGGCTTATCCAGCTTGGAACAGTGCTGTCTGTGCCAGAGAGAAATTAGAATGGATGATTAGTGCTTCTGTGATTAACTGAAAGTGTTCACTGATTTGTTGATGAAAACATGTGTGTGCTGCAATTATTAATACAGGATGACATAGTCCGAGGGACAGGTGTCCAAGGCTGTAGGCTAAGTCAGTAACCTATTTATTAGGAGATCTCTGTCACCCTTCACAATCAGCTTGCTCTGTGACCTTGGGCTACTTATTTGATCTGCCAAATCACGCTGTCCTACCTAGTAAATTGGAAATGATCTTCAAAGTTTTATGAAAAAGACTGTTTCCTAGGGATCACTGACTGAAGTGCTGGCTTTCCACTGATGTTCGTGTGTATGAATGGGAGGTTAAATACTTCTAAGAACAAGGTCATGCTGCTATAGTTGAATTTAGTGTGATACATTGGTAGGTAATGGCCATAAAACCCAACAATGACTCAATAGAAGAATAAAGGCTGAAGTGTTTGAATTTGTGGTTACAATTTAGTTCATGAGCTTTAAACACCATGGACACCCATAGGTGTGGAGTGTGGTCGCACATAGAGCTGCTTGGTTGTAGATACAGATTCCCCAGGATGGAGAATCATTTGTTGCACAGTAAACTTGCTTTGCCCCGCATCCAAACAACTATATGCTAAAATAATGGTGTTGAGTTTGATCCTGAATATCTCATTTTATGACCAACAGCACATGTGGTCAATGAGAGGAGGCCTAATTTCCAGAACCTTTCACATATTTCTCTATAGACATATAGCTGTCCTGATGGCCACCTTGATGAACCTTAAGCAGCACAAAATACCAGAGTACCTTTGGAATCATTAAGATGTTTCATATGTTTCACCCAGAGTGTTAAATCTAGTTCATCACTCGCTGTGTAAATTGATGAAAGTTTGTTGTATTACTTAACATAGAACTTCCAGTTCAACTGGAACCAAACAGTAGGCTCTGCAGAGTATCTGAAGGAGGAGGAGAGTGTTCAGCTTTAGTTCAAATGCCAGTTTTGCCACTACTGGCTGATCAAGTAAATGAGCAAAGTACTCAGCCATTTTGTGCCTCTATTTCCTTATCAATAATTTGGAGAAAATACTGGCACCTACCTTACAGATACAGTGTTTTAAATAACAACTGTTCTACAGTAACCTCCCAGATGTTAGTTTCTTACTATTATTGTTGTTATAATAATAGTATTATTTAATTATATAATTATTGTATAATTATATAATAGCATTTTCTGCTTTGCTTGGCACTTCTACATATATTTTCTCATTTGAGCCTAATGTAAGACAAATGTCATAAATAAAGAACATAAGAATAAAAACATGACTTTCCCATGGTCACAAAGCCAGTAAGTATTGCTCCATCTGACAATCCATCCCTCTCACCACATTATGGCATCTCCTTCTCCAGCCATGCTGGATAAATGGAGGGCTGTTATAATATGGTGTTCTCTTCCTGGGGTTCCAGGTTAAGGTCAAGACACAGAGCATTCTGGCTCCTGGGCTCAAGGATCATTTTACTGACCTTAAGTTGTACACCAGCAGCATTGTGTGTCTCTAAGCCCAGATTAAAAGAATCACATTTGATAAAGGTTTGCACGGATTACTGTGGTTTGTTTTACAATGGCCAAATCTTTTACGATACCCTTCAAGTTCAGTGCCTTCCCCCAAATCATGCTAATAAATAAAAGATGTGTCAGCAGAAGCGATGAGAGAAAAGTGAAACCTTTGGAGAAAAAAAAATCCCATAATTTGTCACAAAGTCTCATTTAGGGATCCTGATTTCAGTGGGGTTTTGGTATCTTGTGACTTAAAGCACCCTCCTGTCAACACTGAGAAAATCCCCACAAGGATGCAAATAGTTCTGACATCTAGGCAAGTATGGATTCTAAGCAATTGCGCTTTCCAAAATCTGGATCAAATTGCTGAAAGGTGAATGATCTAGCCCTATAGATTGCAAACATTAGAAAAGAGAATTCTGTTAATGCCAGATAGGAATTTTGTAAAGAAATTAGGAATTTAAGAGAGCTATATAAACGCTGTCCAGAGAGACAAATGCAAGGGAAATAAATACAAGGCAAAGAGGGCTTGAAATATTCTCTGCTATTATAGAACCTGGCTTAACTCATGCTCGCTCCTTCAGCTCAAATCCCGCGGTTACTCACTCGGATTTTAACAGTAGAATACACAGTAACTAAAGAAATTCGAGCTCAGATATCATCATCTATCTTAACTAAGTTTTAATTCACGAAAATTGCTTTTTGTTGTTTATCTTCAATACTGCTTAAGAAAATAAGTATTTCTAGCTCATGAGAGCGATTTTGACATGGATTCAAAATATTAATCCATTTTTTTCTCTTTTGGCCCCAGGAGCTGGGATGAAATCACATGATTTAATCATTCTGAATCCATGTGGCTCCTCAGAGATAGGGCCAGATGTAACCAGAAGGATTTATAGGGTGTAAAATTCAGAATGGATTAGGACAGCATTTCTGTGTTCAACCCAACACATCCTAAATCATCATTCCCTGGATGGACCAGAGCAATCTCTGGCTGGCCTAGTGGGGAGGTTGTCATGGCAACTGACTGGCAAGCTCAGCCCGTGGAATGTGAATGCAAACAGTAGTGACAAGGCTGTGTACAGAGCAGCCTACTAAGGCGGCTTCTACCCAGGTACAGTGACACATCAGTCGATGCGTGAAACTGTCACTGCATTTTTTTGTAACTTCTGGCAGCTTATTTGAAATTTATCGTGTCCTTTCCCAGATGTTGATAAAACATTGCTGCTGACAGGTAACAGAAGATATGGAAAAATCAGCACCAGTAGCTAGCTGCAATGGTATACAAAGCCCTGGAGGGCTGTTAGGCTAACACCACTCAAATTTCCTAAAGGAGGCTGAAGCAAGCTTAGGGTGAAATCCAATGATTCTTTAGTGCCACCTTATGTCCAGTTAAATACTGGAAATTTACCAAAGGCCTACCCTCAAACACTTTACTAGGCAGCAGTAGGACAGACATGGAAAAAGTTAGAGCTGCATTATGTTGGAGTTTGGGAGTCCCTTTCACAGCAGAATATGAACATGAAGTCTTCTAAGCCTGAAGTTAAAGAAAAAATGAAAATTAATAATTTTGGTAGAATCTGAAATGAGGAAATAAAAAAAAAAAATGCCAAATAACCCCAGACCTAGAAAAGATTAGAAGAGGCTGCATGCTGATCCAGGGGTTGTAGGAAGAGATGGCAGAGACAGACTGTGTCAAGGATTCTTCATGTCGTCCTTACTAACTAACTCTGGCCAAGGCATTTTTTTTTTTTTTTGTCTAGAGAAAAATAAGATGTGAACATCACTAATTCGACTTTATAATTCTTGTTAATGGATAGCAAGATGGTAGCATTTGTTCAAATGGCACCTCATCCTGCCTCTCATCTCCCACCCAAACCAAACCTACCGGCCACAGCTGTCCTACCATCACCATGCCCCATTTAATTTCCACAGAAGTATGAAGTGACCAAGCTGTGTTTCTTTGTGTTTCTTCCAGGTTTTGAGTTTTTTGAAACAAGTGCCAAGGATAACGTTAATGTGAAGCAGACATTTGAGCGTCTCGTGGATATCATCTGCGACAAAATGTCCGAGAGTTTGGAGACAGATCCAGCCATCGCTGCCGCAAAGCAGAACACGAGGCTCAGGGAAACCCCGCCTCCACCGCAGCCCAACTGTGGCTGTTAGTGTCCCGGTACAGGCAGCTCCAGAGGGGTTGGTTGCTAAAAATAACATTTATAAATGGTCAATTAGCCTTCATTTATACTGCCTAATAATTATTTGAGGGAAATCTTTGATGTCTGTGGCTCGAACATGCATTCAATTCCAGGGAGATTTCCAGTGTTAATAAGTGACAAATATGTGATCTTAACTTTGTAAGGAATATCCATCTATAAACATCAGATGTTTGCATGTGATTTGTTATTTGTCTTCTAGGCTCTTTTTGTTTCAGGTTTCTTAGATTAAGCTACTGCTGGGACCTCTGATTATAATTTCAGTACAACTGAGTTTTGGGCTACGGGTTCAAATTATGCTATTCACTTGTAGGGATGATAACCAAGAAATTGGTTGTGTGTGTGGTGTGAGCAGGGCGAGATCTCAGGAGGCCTTATTTGCTTTCCTCTCAATCGAAAATCAAGTGGAAATGTTACTCGTGATTAGGGAGACTGTCATGGGTCTGGTTGGTTTACTGTTCAGGAAACGTATCTATTTTTCAGTGTTATTATAACTGAGAAGACCATTGACTATAAAGAACTTGAAATATCGTTTAAGGCCCTTGCAAATTTACCAAGAGATTAATATTTACCTGACTGGAAGTAGATTTTAACAGTAGTCTTAGTTTAAATAAGGAATACCTAACCCAAGACTGCACCACCCAACATTCTGAATATTTGAGGGCACTGACAGACAGAGGTATCTGCTGAATGTGTTATTGTAACAAGCGTCTTAACCAAGAAGGATATGAGTAGCGGTGGGATTCCAAGGCCTGAGCTCCCCCCCATGACATATACCACCACGACTTTCTGGAACAGATACCAACTCTTGGAACAGAGGTTAAGTTGAAGCTTGTTAGAGCACCTCTTCCCATAGGATGTAGACTTGCTTTCCCAAACATTGCCTTCTGTTCGCACCTCCCTAGGTTCTTTTACCTGGCTAGAAGTCAGTTAAACAGTATCTCCATGGCTCTCAGATTGAGGAAAAGACAATTATCATCTCTAATCTTTTTCAATCCAAGTACTTATACCTTTAAGGCATATCCCCATTCTGTAAGCCTTTAAACATGCTTAAGTTACTCAGAGACCTCTCTTTGGAGCTGAGAGCTACAGAAAAATCTTAGGGCGCCATAAGCAATTTGAGAGGAGAAAGGAAACCATTTGAACACCCAGATTCTTTCTCCTAGAGATTCTTTCTCCTGGATTTCCTGAAGACCATATATGATTAACAAGCAAACCAATCCCACCAGCGATTCTAAGTGAGGACTGAAAAGAGACACAGCATCTGTATCACCACCCAGCATTGTTTACGGCTAGGACTTTAAGGCAGCAGGCACACATTGGCATATTTGGAAGGGCAGTTCCATTAAGTGAACTTTCCCCTTTTTTGGTGATCATGTAAAAGATTTTTTTTCTCTTTTCAAAAACAGAGACACTTCCCATGAAAGTATTGAGGGCAAGATTCTTGAGCAAGGATATTGATAGGGAAGGATGCATATCTAAAGAGATCTCTGGAGGATAAATGCCTGCAAGTCAGGGAACTAGGTCACATATATTACTAGTAAGTTAGAAGATGAAAATTACAGGAGAAAGCATTTGGGATGTCTTAAGCATATCCACATTCTTATTATTGTTCATCTTAGCTTAAGATCCACTAATTGGCAATAAATCTTCACTTTGGCACTGTGCAAGGTAGACCTTAGCCTAGTGAAGACAAGAAGACATTAATGCTTTATTAGATTTTAATGGGGCAACTAGCTTCAAAAATCAAGAAATTAAAGTGAAGGGAAGAAAGAGAAGGCAGGGGCCATCAAAGCAGATTTGTTTGCAACAGAAGCCTGTTTGCATGATATTGTAATATTTCTTTAACATGGTCTAGAAAATGGCCATGTTAAATGATATAGCTGTTAAGCTGACTTTTACGAGCTAATATGAAGCAACAGAACTAGGAAGACCTTCGCATCCTCTCTCAGACCTGATCTCACATACATACGTACAGATGTCAGGGACCTCAATATGATGTCTCAGGTGGCTTTTTCAGAAGAACATTGATATGCATATTATTGTAAAATGGAAAGCAAAATCAGAGAGGGTAGAAAATGGGAAAGAAAGTTGAGTTTTGCCCTCTTGTAAACTCCCTCCCTGAAGAGCTAATTGCCATTGAAATTAAACGGCTCTAGAACCAGAAGACCTAAGCCAAGTACCCACTTACACAATGTCAAACATACCAGACTTGAGCTACTGTATGCCAGTCGGGAGCATAATGCAAGAATGGCCCAGGTGTCAGTGCCAAGGGACATCCAATAATTTCTCTTTTTCAAACCTCCATGGAAGTAGAGGCTTACTAATTGATTCTCCGTTCTGAAGCCCCTACCCCAGTGTGAATTTCTAAGTGAGACGCTTCCAAAAAGGATCGTCACAGAGCTCAATGAATTGAGCACCTATGCTCCTGCTGTAAAGCACATGGAAAGAGAGAAAAATTCTCGACTCTCGACATCAAGAGATCCTGGTTTTAAAATCAAGTTTGGCAAAAGAAGAACCAGCCTAGGATTAACTAAGTAAACTTCTATTGGCATCAAGCTATATTATTTATAACACTGTGGTTCCAAGGTTTTTCACCCTTTAGGCCATCATGCACACAAATGTGTATACACACACACATGCATACAATATCTCCCATATTCTGTCTGCCAACAGCTTAAATAACCACAGGTCATTTTTACTAATGGCCTAAATTTGTATTCAAAAGATCAAAGACATCTTACAAAGTGTATGTTTGTGTTAGTGTGTAAATTGTAGACAGCCATCTTTTGTCTTTGATGCAACTCAATTAGCGTCTCAAGAACAAATTTCTCTTCCTCTGTCACCCCTCTCATCATCACCCCATCCCTCCGATTACTTTTATAATCAAACCTTGATTGTTTTGAGCAGATACTTCCAAGAGCTTTGGTTTGGGGACATTCCTTTCTGTTCTAAATGTAAATGAAAAATTGGACTGGAAATTATTTCCTCTAAACAGCCATTTAGGACTTCCCTGGTGGCACAGTGGTTGAGAGTCCGCCTGCCGATGCAGGGGACACGGGTTCGGGCCCCGGTCCGGGAAGATCCCACATGCCGCGGGGCGGCTGGGCCTGTGAGCCATGGCCGCTGAGCCTGAGCGTCCGGAGCCTGTGCACAACAGTGAGAGGCCCGTGTACCGCAAAACAAACAAACAAACAAAAACAGCCATTTAGTGGACCCGCATTTCAGCTTTTGGGGTTGTGAGTGGTGTAGAAGGTGCATGAAGTTTCTTAAGTCCTAAGATGGCAGTTTACAAGTTAGCATTATATCTATGGGCTTATAAGAAGAATTAAGACAGTGAATTAGTTCATTGCCACTGCCCCCGCTGAGCAACCTCTACTGCCTTGATAAACTTCTAACCACCTCTTTTGTTTAACTTAAAATCATTATCCCTTTGCCCGCCTAGTAAATAAGTGCTAAGATTTTTATTTGGAATGGGAACTATGATGATGTCTTTGGCTGTTGCAGAAAGCCTCAGCGTTATGTTAAATATGAACTATGAATTCCACTACAACCACAATTATACAAGACATCTACATACTCAACAAACAAATATGTATTTCACCTACTTAACTCTTATCCAGATTAATAATAGCTCTTTGGTTCAGCACGTTGGTTATCTTTCAGAAACTAATTTAACCTTCCCATTTTAACTACATCTATACTGAGGATAGACTTTCAGGGATGCAATGTTCTTGCTTTAAAGTAAAATACAGTCTACTGTTAACTGAACTTCCACGAAGCAACATTAATTTTGGAGCGTGGTAGTCAGTAATCAGTGGCTCATTTTGACGTACTTTATCCAATGTGTCCCTTCGTGCTCAGTGAGGATGTACTGTGCCATCCTTCAGTCAACTGTGTGGCATCTGTGAGAGTATGTTAAAAATGTATCCAGACTCTCCCAAGCTATCCCAAGGCTGAGGTAGCAGCTGCATGTGAAATACTAAGATAAATCTTAAAGTCATGATTAAAACCCTTCTAGGTCAAAAAGTGTTTAAGCATTTCCATATACTATTGGAATGCTCCATCAGGAATTTTTGGCGTGGCATACTTGGGAGGTAGCCTTTCTGTCTGAAGAATGCTCTCTCTCTCTCTCTAAGTTATAGTTTGCATGACTGGTAACCAGAACTCTTTGTTCCTTTGTGTATGTACTCAGTGTGCCATGTCAGGCTGCCATGTGAGCAACTAGACCCATGTGGCCTTTCTAATCACCCCCTAGAAGGTGCAGCCACTCCAGATCTGCTTGGCTTTGCCCATTTGTGTATAATACCTGTGTTTTAGGGGTCTACCAGTAAAATGGTGAATTCTTTCTGATCAGCTGAACAATCAGGGTCAGCTTTTTAGATTCCTTTATATTTCAGATAACTTTTTGATCAAAGCCAGTTAAAGACAAAAACCTGTTTTATATTCTGAAACAAATTGGGAAAATTGAGTAAAAGATGAAGTTTATAACCAGGAAAAAAGGCATCTTGATTATCTCTACAGTGAACCTAAAGGGTTCCAGGTTCTAAAAATACAATATCCTCTAAGGGGACAAAAACAGGTCTAGAGAATTTATTTAAAATATATCCACCTATTGTTGTTTCATAAATAAATGTTTTTTTCTTAAAAACCTTTACAGGAATGCTTGACACTCTAGTCAAATACTTCGCTTAAGTAGATTAAAATATTTACACCTGGGCCACACAGATAGTGTTGCCCCTCCCAGCACATACACACTCAAACACAGGTACCTTTTCTATGAAGGAAAATTTCCATATATGGTGCTTTCTCAGTGCTAGGGAAAAGGGAGCTTTTACTATGCTCCAACAACTGTAACTGGCATTTCCCTTAAAAAGGTCTACAAAATAGATTCTTCACACTGATTTGATTTGCCTCTGTGCAGAGAATTAATTCCCATTAAAAGGGGAGGATAGACAGAATATATTTTGCAAAACTTCTAGAGAAAAGAAATTATTTCAAAGCCTCTGTCAGAGTTCGAGTATTAAGATCAGACCATGTAGCTAGTGGACAAATTGAGCTTTCTATTTACAATTCTCTTTTCTACTTCCTGATTATTTTATCATTTCAGTTTTTTAAAGCACTATCCTCACAGAGTGACAGGACCAAGAATAGGAAATGAGACTCAAGTTTCACCATTTACCTCCCATCAGTACAGTTAGTGGTAGAGTTTCAACCAGTCATTACTTGCTGAAATGAGGTTGGGGGGGGGTACGTGTGTATTTCATTCACCTGTGTTCATACTTTCCTTCATGGTGGACAACTGAGAGTTGGCTGTGGCTTTATTTCTTAATGGAAATGTTTCCATGGTCATATTATTTGGCACTAGAGGTTGCTTAGGTTCATGAATGCCATTCTTAAAGATGCAGATGGTACATGAGCCACAGACACCTGGCCTTTCAGGGACGTGAGCATAAATTACATCTGTCTAGTGGTTCCATACGCCTCATAAAAGTGAAATCTGGGGATTGTTTGCTGTTTCAGTATGATGGTTTTCCATGCATTGTCTCATCATCCCTAGGATATGTGCTGAATGAAAATTTCCTGTAATTCCTGTTAATATATTGTTAATGTCAGACGTGATGTGATACCGTTGAACTGTCCAAATGTACAACTACTTAATGGTGTTTGTGGAACTGAAATGTCTTAAATGTTGCATGAAATATGTTATAAAAATAGATTTGTTTTCTATTTTTCAACACCTCAGAATTGAGGGTTCATGGGCCAATAAGTGCAATATTTAATGACTTACTCAGTGTATATAAACTAGTGTGAAAGAGTGAATTATAATGAATGTGTGAGATGCTTTGATGGCTGTTTGACTTACTCAGATTATTTCATGTAGCTGTATTTGTCTAGTGGTACAATTTATACAGTAAATACCTTATTGGTGTCATGTGAAACTCCTCTGTGCCTACTTCAAGGTATGTTTTTTTTTCCCCTATAAGACCAAACATTTAGGATCTGGGAATACATGTCAATTTTGCCTTTTAGAATTGTGGATTTTATTTTCAAGACAGAATGGCTGTTAGTTTATTTTATATAGTCATTCCCTTCTTTAACTCAGAATCTTCCTTAAGCCTTTTATAAGAGGTTAATTTAGAAACCTAAGAAAAAATATGCACATAAGGAAAAGTCATTTTTATTTTTCTCTGAAATGTTGATCACATGTTCTGTCTCCTAAGAATTTTCACTCATATTTTTGTGTATATTTTATTGTCACTCAACCTTGTGTTTGGTTTGCAAATTTAACACTGTCAATCCTGAGAATCCTAAAATATTGATGTCTTTTTAGGTTGTTGCTAATGTTATATTCACTTTCAATTCTCAATTGTCCACACTGATAATATAGGAGAAACAAGTCAGAATCCTTAAATCACTTTGGTATGTCATCATAAACTCATATATTCGTCCTCAGACTCCCTTGGTTAATCTCATAATTGGTGGCCTAGAACTTCAATGAGATACAAAATCAAGAAATTAGGCCTGGTTGCTGGATTACCAAAAACTATGTATTTATGTATATGAAGTTTCAAGTAGGACAACTACCTTAAACTCCTATTTGCCATTTTAATTTTTAAGGCAAAACACTCATTGTAATACTGTGTTTTGCCTTTTCATTTAGTTAGAGTAAATCATGATACCCTTGGGAAAAACGTTGAGTTTTTCACTAAAAATGATGAAAAACAGTTGGTTTTAGATGACCATGGCCCTCTGTACATCACAGGAAGCCTTCAGTTCTCTCTATAGCAATTGCCTGAAATTGACATGTGAGAATGTGCCAATCATATTAAATGGCTTTGGACCACTACCAGTGATATGTGGCCCTATTTTACATGAGCTAGCCTGCTCTTGGGCCCACAGAAGTCAAGTAGAGATGGGTGAAACAGGGAGGTTAGAGATTACTTCGTGCCAAATTTTAAAAAAAGAAAAATGTAAGCAGGTAGCCAACATTAGAATGATAATTTAAGGGTGTGTTTAAATGTTTAGTCGTCAATAGTTACTGAATACGATGTACTCAGTGCTGTGGGAATCAAACATGGAAGAGGTATGGCTCTGGCCTCTAATAAGCTTACTGACTGAAGAACAAGGAGCGAAATACCAGGATATGATCTAAATGCTATGTTATGTCAGGCTATAGGAGCACAGAGAATGTGAAACCTACAAAAACAGGAAAAGTCAAGAATGGCTCCATTGAAGAGGTGAGACACGATCCCAGAAAGAATTAGATAGAGGAGATTGTGCCAGACAAATAAATGGGAAAGGTCACAGTTTGTTCCCTTGAATGGAAGAGGGACAGAGCTGGCAGCTAGAGATCATTGTTTTCCTCCAGAGAACCAGACTGGCCCTCGGGAAACCCAACAAATTACCCCAGTTTGGTTCTCTCTGTTTTTATCCCCACGAGGAAAGCAAGCTGCAGTATCGTCATATTCCTCTGTGCTGAACAGCCCCAGACTCGGGCCCAAAACACAAATTAATCTGAAGCTCATAAGAACAGTAGATTTAGACATTTTGCCCATGCACCAAACCACAAGGCATTGTCAAACCCAGTGTCAACCAGGCAGATGTAAGCCCAGAGATTTTTCTGTGGTTCTGTGTTTCCCATAAAGGGTGTGGGGAAGTGCATAGATGAATACCTTCCTTTGTAACCAGGCACTATCGGCTCCTTCTTAGTGACTGCACTGTGGAGCTCTTCTTGAGAAAAAATTGAGTAACGGCTTAATGCTTTCATATAGTGATCGTGATGTTTATTTGAACACTACTGCTGCACAGCAAATATTATGACTCTTCATGTGTCCACAGGAGCTCTTGTCTGGGTTTAACGCTATAAAGTGTATTCACATTGTGAAGTTTTAATTCTCTTTATTAAAATTAATTGTGTAAGAACTGTATGTGCTCTATTAGGTATTAAGTTTGTATGTGAGTTCTGTATAGGAAGTGGTTTTTGTTCTTTGGGTTTATCTTGTTTTATTTGGAGATTACAATAAATATCTAAGAGACTATATTCCTGAATTTCTCAGTCTTGGTCTGAGAACATTTTTCATCTCCTCTCAA